CGCCTCCCCGAGTGCCCGCCCGGCTTGGCCCAGAATCCCAGCTCCCTGTGCTGAGCCGGCCGCGGTTTACGGGAAACAGCCCTGGCGATGTGCCCGGAGCCGCCGCTTTAGGAGTCCCAGCCCTGGCGATGTGCCCGGGCTGGCGGCAGTCTGTCCCAGTCCGTCCCAGTCTGTCCCAGTCTGTCCCAGTCTGTCCCAGTCCATCTCAGTCTGTCCCAGTCTGTCCCAGTCCATCCCAGTCTGTCCCAGTCTGTCCCAGTCCGTCCCAGTCTGTCCCAGTCCACCCCAGTCTGTCCCAGTCCATCTCAGTCTGTCCCAGTCTGTCCCAGTTTATCCCAGTCCTTCCTAGTCTGTCTCAGATTATACCAGTCTGTCCCAGTCCGTCCCAGTCTGTCCCAGTCCACCCCAGTCTGTCCCAGTCCATCTCAGTCTGTCCCAGTCTGTCCCAGGTTATCCCAGTCCTTCCTAGTCTGTCTCAGATTATACCAGTCCATCCCAGTCCGTCCCCGTCCCTTCCCAGCAGCCGCCGCCGTTTCCCGGGTCCTGCCCCCCCCGCCCCCCCAAGATGCTGTCGGGGGTCGGGGCTCCGTCTTTGGCTTCGTCTCCCTGGGCTGGGGCTCGGCCTCCGCCCGCGGGAGGAGCTGAGGGGGGTCCCCGGGGGTCGTGTGTCCCCCCCGGAGCGTGTGTGCCCCCCCGGGACCCCCATCCCGCTGTCCCCCCCTTTTCTCTCCCCACGGAGCTCCTGCCCCAGCTCCCGCTCCCCCCTGGCAGGGGCTTTGGGAGCCCCCCTTTGCCTTGACCCCGGGACCCCTGCGGGGGGCAGTGGGGGCTGCCCAGGGCGGGCACTGGCCCAGGGAGATCGCCCCCCGCCCCCGCGGCATCCGCTGATCGCGGCGCTTCCCCCGCTTTGGCCCCAAAGCGGCGCCTTTAAGGCCGAGTTTAAGCGCAGGGCCCGCGAGTTCAGCTCGGCCCGGCCCGGGGGTCCCGCCGCTCGGGCCCGTCCAGGGGGCCCGGGGGTGGCGGGGGGACCCGGGGCGGTGCCGGGAGGGGTCCCGAAGGGGATCCCGGGGCATTCCCGGCAATTCCCCCGTGCCCGCCCCCCGCGCTCCCTCGGCCACTTTCGCTTTCGCGTCTCCCGAACTGCGCCCAGCGGGGCCAGCGGAGCAGCGCGATGGCTCCAGCGCTGGGGCTGGGGGCGCTCCTGGCGCTCCTGGGGGTCTCGATGGGGCAGCCCGAGGGTAAGTGGGACCCCCGGAACGGGCAACTCCTCAGCCTTTATTGCCGGGCACCGGCACTTCCCTGAACCTCCATTTCCGGGCACCGGGACCCCCCTGCACCCTCTCCCTCCGCACCGGGACCCCCTTAAACCTCCCTATGCGGCACCGGGACCGCCTCATTTCCATTCCTGGGCACCGAGACCCCCTTGAACACCCGTTCCCGGCCATGGGAACCTCCCTCAACCTCCATTCCCGGCCACAGGGACGCCTCTGGAGCCCCATTCCTGAGTACTGGGACCCCCCGGAACCCCTATTCTTTGGCTCGGGAACCCTCCTGGACCCCATCCCTGGCACCAGGACCCCTCTGAACCCCCTTATCCTCAACAAATACCCTCCTGTGCCCCTTTTCCTGCCAATCCTGCCTCTCCCAGCCCCCTGATCCTCCCTTTTCCTTGACCCTGAGACCCCCTGGACCCCCATTCCTGCCTTTCTCAGCCCCCACTTCCCTCAACACCGGGGACCACTGGACTCCCCTTTCCTGGGCACAGGGACCCCCTGCATCCCCCATCCTGCCTCTCCCACTCCCAGCCCTGCCTTTCCTTGAACCTTGGCCCCTTCCCAGCTCTCCCAGTTCCACTCTCCTGACCCTTGGACCCCCCAAACCCTCCAATCTCTGTGACCTCCCCAGTTCTCCACTCCCTGTGCTTCCTGCAGGGGGGTCCCAGGCGCCGGGAATGCCCTCGACCGCAATTCCTGGGCACCGGGGCCCCCCCTCAACCCCCTTATCCTGCACCAACACCCCCCTGCACCCCCTTTCCTGGACATCCTGCCTCTCCCAGACCTACCTTTTCCTTGTCCATGAGACCCCCTGGACCCCCATTCCTGCCTTTTCCAGACCTCATTTTCCTCAACATCAGCCACCCCTTGACCCCCCTTTTCCTGGGCACAGGGACCCCCTGAATCTCCATCCCACCTCTCCCAGTGCCCTCCCCCCCTTCCCCTGACCCTGGGACCCTGTTACAGACCGGACAGGGGCTGCACCCTGGTTCTTTTAGATGATTCCTTCGAGGGCGAGATTAAGGCCCAAACCTCCAAATGTTGGGTCTCACACACACAACTGACTTTATTGGTACCAATAAGGAACGGTAAAAGCGAGGGGCGGAGAAGAAGAGGGAGAGATGAGGAAAAGGAAAGGCTGCCAAAGGAAAGTGCAAAAAGGTTGCCAGCCCAGGGAGAGAAGCGGGTGCAGTCAGGCTCGGGCAGGCAGGGAAGCAGCGCTGGAGGGAAGTGGGTGGGGAGCAGAGCGGATCCGAGCCGAGCAGCAGAGCAGGGAGGTGGGACACGAGCGGGACGGAGCGAGGAGCGGGGCCAGCAGCCAGCACGGGCCCCTGGCCAACAGCGGCTGGGCTGGACAGGACCGAAACGCGGGCACTGCCTTAAATCCCCCGGTGGGCGCTCCCTGGCCAGCTCGGCTCCGGGCAGAGCCTTGACTTTGAGACCCCCTGGAGCCCACGCAAGACGTGGCCGCGGAGGGTTGCAGAGGGTCTCAGGAGGACTCAGGGCGGTCCCAGCAGGGCTCCCAAAGGACATTCCGGTCAGTTCCCAGGAATTCCCCCGTCCCCTCCCCTCCCCCGCGCTGCCTCGGGCTCTGTCGCGTCTCCCAACCTGCGGAGCCGGGATCTGCCCGGTGACCGGTGACGTCACGGCCGAGTCGGGTTCCCATTGGTGCAGAAGAAGCAGCGGCGCCGGACGCTGCTGTGTGGGCGGGGCCAGCGGAGCAGCGCGATGGCTCCAGCGCTGGGGCTGGGGGCGCTCCTGGCGCTCCTGGGGGTCTCGGGGGGGCAGCCCGAGGGTAAGTGGGACCCCCGGAACGGGCAACTCCTCAGCCTTTATTGCCGGGCACCGGCACTTCCCTGAACCTCCATTTTTGGGCACCGGGACCCTGCACCCTCTCCTCCCCCGGGCCCCCACAAAACAAAAAGCGCCCCTCCCAGCCCCCCCGGGGGGGGGGGGGGGGGGGACTCCCCGCCCCCCCCTGAATCCGGATTGCTGAGCACGGGAACCCCCTGAGACCCCATTCCCGGAAGGAGACCCCCCTGAACACCCATTCTTGGGTACCGGGACCCCCCTGAACCTCCGTTTCCCGGTACCAGGACCCCCCTGCACCCTCTCCCTCAGCACCGGGACCCCCTTAAACCTCCTTATTGGGCACCGGGACCCCCTCATTTCCATTCCTGGACACCAAGACCCCCCTGAACACACATTCCCGGACACAGAACGCCCCCAGACCCTCATTTCTGGGCACTGGGACCCCCCTTAACACTCTTATCCAACACCAGGACTCCCTGAACCCCCATGCCCGGCTCCAGGACTCAATTGAACCCCCTTATCCTGCACCAACACCCCCCTGCACCCCCTTTCCCAGCCATTCTGACTCTCCTCACCCCATGACCTCTCTTTTCTCACCCCTGGGCCCCCCATTCCTGGGCAAAGGGACCCCTGGATGCCCCATCCCACCTCTTCCAGTCCCTACACCCTCCTTTCCTTGGCCCTGGGATCCCCAAACCCCCTTCCCGGCTCTCCCAGCTCTCCCAGTTCCCCCTTTCCTTGACCCTTGGACACCCCCAGACCCCCCAAATCTCCGTGTCCCCCCAGTTCTTCACTCCCTGCGTTACCTGCACGTGGCAGTGACAGAGCCCAGCCCGGGGATCCCTCAATACCTGTCCATGGGATATGTGGATGGGATCCCCATCAGCCGCTACGACAGCGAGCGGGGCCGGGTGGAACCACAGACGCCGTGGATGGCGGCCGGAGCCGAGCCGGGATATTGGGATGAACAGACCCAGATCAATGAGAGGAACCAGCACGTGGCTACCCACAACCTGGGTGTAGGGCAGGATCGCTACAACTGGAGTGGGGGTGAGTGGGGGGAGCTGGGGAATGGGGGATGTGTGGGGCTGGGATGGCATCTGTGGGGCTGGGATGTGGATCCAAGGTGCTCCAAGGGCTGGGATGAGGCTCTGTGGGTCTCCATCGGACTCTGGGGCTCCATAGGGCTGGAATGGGGCTCTGTGGGGCTGGAACACAATTCCAGGGGTCTCCATGGGTCTGATCCCACCCCCAGGTCTCCACACGTGGCAGTGGGTTTGTGGCTGTGACCTCCTGTCCGACGGGAGTGTCCGTGGATCCTATTGGCAAGGCTACGACAGGCGGGATTTCATCTCCTTCGAGCTGGGATCCGGGAGCTTCGTGGCGGCCGATGGAGCTGCCCAGATCACCAAGAGGAAATGGGAACACGACGGGATCGTGGCAGAGAGACAGACACATTACCTAAAGAACATCTGTCCAGAATGGCTCCGGAAATACATCGAATACGGGCGGGAGGCGTTGGAGCGCAAAGGTGAGGGAGACAGAATTCCCATGGGAATGTGGGATTTGGGAATGTGAGATTTGGGAGGGTGGAACTGAGGAACATGGGAATTCCCGTCAGAATTCCATGGATGAATCTGAGTCATCCAACTCCCATGGGAATTCCGTGCATGGATCCCACTGTTCTCTTATTCCAGTGGGAATTCTGTGGATGGATCTCACTCCAATCCCATTCCCACGGGAATTCCATGGATGGATCTCACCGTTATCCCATTCCAGATCCCCCTGATGTCCACGTGTCCGGGAAAGAGGAACACGGGATCCTGACGTTGTCCTGCCACGCGTACGGATTCTACCCCGGGATAATCGGGATCAACTGGCTGAAGGGGGATGAACTGCGGGATCAGGAGACGGAGTGGGGCGGGATCGTTCCCAACAGCGACGGCACCTTCCACAGCTGGGCCAGGATCGAGGCGCTGCCGGGGGAGCGGGAGCAGTACCGGTGCCGGGTGGAGCACGCCGGAATGCCGGAGCCCGGGATCTTCGCCTGGGGTGAGGCTGGGAACGGGCAATGTGGGAACTGGGGGTTTGGGAAGGAGGAATTTGGGAGTGTGGAGCAGTGGGATGGGGGTAACCCTCCCCCTCCTCATGTTCCTGTCCTTTCCAGAGCCAGAATCCGTCTGGAATTCCAGCCCGGTGTTGGTGGCTGTGTCCGTCATCGCTGCCATCATCATCATCATCATCGGCCTCGTGGCAGTCGGTGTCTGGAAGCTCCGATCCGGTAACTCCCGGGATGGGGGTCGGCAAGGGGCACGGATCCGCCCGGCAGCATTCCGGGGATCCTGTGCCACGGGTGCTGATCCCACTTTCTTTCCATAGGGAAGAGGGAGGGGAATGGATACGACCCCGCGCCCACCAGTGAGTCCCAGCAGCGTGTGTGGATCCAGATCCTCTGTGCAGGGATCCCAGGATGGATGCCGGGATTCCAGAGGGGAATGGGGGCCTAATGGCTGGAGTGGGATTGGAAGGGGATTGCAGCTCAGGGCAGGATTCCAGAGTGGGATCAGGTGGAATTGTGGACTGGGATCAGGGCTGGATTCTGGAGTGGGATTGGGGTGGGATGGATGGAGTGGGATTGGGGTGGGATGGACGGAGCAGGATCAGGAGGGATTCCAGAGCAGTTCCTACTCTCCCTGGGCTCCACAGCCGGCTCCATCCCCTGGGATGGGAACAGGGACATGGTGACTCCTTTCCCCGCTCTCATCCCAGCAGGAATCACAGCCTGAGCAATCCCGGAGCTGGATCCATTCCTTTCCCTCTCACTGTGGAAAGGCAGGAGCTGCTGGCAGAGCTCATCCCGCTACTCCAACCCACCCCGGCCCCCCTGCGGCTCTTCCCGATGGATCAACTTCCTGCTTTTTCCCGTGTGAAACCCAGGACCACAATTATTCCTGAGGCTTTAATTTGGGTGTGAAAATCTCCTGCTTTGGGCAATAAATCCCGGCTCCTCCTCTGGCATCCGGCAGTTCCTCTGTGGGAACCAGGAATGGGAATGGAGACACTGAGGACAGGGATGGGTACACTGGGGACAGGCTGGGGCCACCAGGATTTGGAATGGGGACATTGGGACTGGGATGGGGACATTGGGGACAGGGATGGGGACACTGGGAGTAGGTTGCAGACATCAGGAATGGAAATGGGAACACCAGGAGACAATGGGGAATGGGGACACCAGGAGCAGGATGGGATGACCAGGAGAAGGTTGGGGACACTGGAACAGGCTGGGGTCATCAGGAATGGGATGGAGACACCAGGAATAGCAATGGAGACATTGGGAGCCGGTTGGGGACAGCAGGAACTGGGAATGGGGACACACGGAAATGGGAATGCGGAAAATAGAGCTGGGATGGGAACATCAGGAATGGGAATGGGGACACCAGGAATGGGAATGGGGACACCAGGAATGGGAATGAGGACCTGGAGGACAATGCTGGGGACACTGGGAGCAGCCTGGGGAGAGCAGGAACTGGGATGGCAACACCAGGAAAGGGAACGGGGACATCGGCAGCAGGGTGGAGACACCAGGGACTGGGAATGGGGACATCAGGAATGGGATGGGAACACTGGGAATAGGAACACCGGGAATGGGAACACCAGGAATGGAGTGGGAACACGATGGACCAGGATGGGGACACTGGGGACTGATGGAGAGGAGCAGAGACCCCAGACTCACCTAAACCCCTCCCAGAACTGAGGACCAAGAGAAGCTCCCCTGAGCTCTGCCCGAGCTTTGCCCATTATTAATATGAATAGATAGATGTTGTGATCAGATGAATATGATTTATCATATTTAATCATTTATGAAAATTGTATACAACCCCGATATTGTGTGAAACTCTCGACCAAGTTCTCTGTGGTGCGAACCACGCTCGCTGCCGACGTCGGCAATAAATCCCTTTGCTGCTCAAAGATCCGAAGTCTCTGAGCAGTTCTTCGGACTGGGTTTTTCAGCATCACAGAGGCAAAGGCACAACTGACGGATGCCCTCAGAGGGCAACATTCTCACCAAAGCTCCCCTCTCAGCTTCCTTTACACTGACCTCTGACTGCAGGGACCTCCTTCCCACTCTGTTGATGCTTCTCAGGTTGCGAACCACCCGGAAAAAAAAACAAATGCCAAGGGATGTGCTTAGATTCACCAAAGATACAGCCCACCAGAATTAACATCTGATTCAGACTGGCAGGAAAATGCTCAACTTGCTCATCGTCCCTCCGGTGCCAAAGGCCCCCCCACCGCTTGCATCCCACCTGGAAAGAACAAGAAGACGCTCCCAGAACGACCTTTGAAGAGAAGTGCCTGTCACAACTGCAAGGAGGAATGCACAACAATCTCACGTGGGGGATATTCTCTGCTCTGCCCTGCAGACCCTTGTGCTGGGGTCAAAACTCAGCCTCTCTGCTTCCCTCTCCTGAGGGACTTGTTCTTAGACATCCCTTTCCCCTCCTGGCAATTCCCAAGCCTGGACCCGGCTCTCAGCCCCTCTCTGGCTCAGAGCCCTCAACTTCTCTTGCAGAGAGCTGGGCCTGTCAACCCACTTGCCAAAAGCACGGCCCTTGGGCTGCCTCGGAGGTTCCTGCAGTCGCCCCAGGCCCTGCCCAAGGCCCTCCCATCAGGGGCTGGGCCCTGGGGGCCGGGGGAGAACCCACCCGCGGCTTGGCCCTTCTTGCCCAGCCCTGCTCTGGCCCAGCCTCCTCCCCCTGCACACTCCCCACTGCCACAGCCTGCGCTGGGGCAGCATTTCCTTCCTGGGCCCTTTGCAGCTGCCCCCATGGGGACACTTCCATTTTCTGGGCCAGGCCCCAGAGGCAATCCCAGCCAGTCCTGCCCCTCGTCCCCAGCCCGGCTCACTGACTCCTGGGGGCCCCTGGAAGCCAAGAGCCAAAGGCCGACCCCCCCAGAGTGCAGCCCCACCATCTGCACTGGGGCCCCAGGGCTTCCCTTTCCCAAGCAGCCCCTGCAAAGCCTTGTCAGAGAGAAAACTGGGTGACCCGAGTGCTGGATGCTTTTAGGAAAGAGGTCTAAACATTTCTTGAAGAATGGAGGGGGGTGACTTTTTTATTCTTGACCTTTCCAGTTCTCCATTTGGGGGCAGGGTGCCCTGGGGCTCCCTCAGTCTTCTTTGAGCCCTGGATCAGTTCCCTGGGGCTCTGGTGGGGTCAGATCCACAGTGGGGGGATCTCTAACCCCCCTGTCCATCCCTGGGGGTTTATGGAGAGCCCCAAAATCTTGGTCAAAGTGTTATTTGGGCACTACCAGACCAAGCCCCCAAATGCGGAGAAGCTCCATGTCCTCAAAAGTCTTGGATAAGAGGGATTTGGATACAATCAAAAATCCGGGGATTGGGTACCCTCAGTTCCCCATCTGCCTCTTGTTTTGGGCAACTGTGAGCTCAGGGACAACTTTATCCTCTGTTTAAGGTTCACTTGAGCCCCAGGAGCCCTGGATGGCTGCTTTTTGGGTTGCCCTGAGCTTTGGGAGCCCTGGCTGGGCATTTTTGGTCGGCCCTGAGCTCCCCCCTCCCCCGTAGCCCACGGACCCCCCGAACCCCCCAGCCCCGGGGCTGCCGCGGGGGCCCCCAACGGCCCTCAGCCAATCCCGAAGCGCCCACGCCGCCCGCGCCCAATCCCAGCGCGCCGCGCTGATGACTCATCAGTCGCCGGGAAGACGCCTCGAAAAAAGGGCCCCAACTGCGCCCTCAGCCAAGCCCAGCGCGCCCCAAATCCCCCAAACGGCGCCGCCCGGCTGGTTTTGGGCTGTCAGCAGCTGTCCGGCGCTGGGCATGGAGCGTGTGCGGGGAGCTGGGGCCGTGCTGGCGGTGCTGGTGGTGCTGGGAGCCCCCCCGGCTGCGGGCGAGGAGCTGTCGGGTGAGCGGGGGGGTGGG